CAGAACTTGGCATGTAGTTGGATGTTTATAAATATTCATTTGGTTTTTCTTTTTCTTGAATTTAGATACCACAAATAATGTGCTCAATGTACTTTCTTCCCTTGAACCTAAAAATGTATAATAACTCAAGCCTTTGCATCATACTCTATGCTTGTCCCCTTTGCTTTTTAGGAAAAGTTGGTGACGTTATGCAACATTGTCAAGAATTGAAATGTTTAGCGTTTGGGCAGTCAAGAAACATTCCCCTCCAATTTAGTAGTATCCAGTGTTTTAAAAAGTTAAACATGAGTAACATGAGGAAATGCCTACAATGTAATGTTAAAGGAGAAATCCTAAAAGTAAAACAAAAATGCTTACATGCTTATAACATGGATGAATATTGAAAACACTACACTACATGAAAGAATCCAGACATAAATGCCATGATATCAATCAGAATTCTCCAAAGAAACAGAATCTCTTTATATTTATATATCTACATGAGATTTATTTTAAGGAACTGGCTCACACAACTGTGACTGTCAGGGCCAGCAAGTCTGAAATCCATAGGGCAGGCTGGCAGGCTGGAACCTTGATCAAGAGTTGATGCTGCAGTCCTGAGGCAGAATTCCTTCTCCTGAAAATCTCAGTTTTTGCTCTTAAGGCCTTCAATTGATTGGATGAGGCCACCTAGATTATTAAGGGTAATTTCCTTTGTGTAAAGTCAACTAATCGTAGATAGTGACCCCATCTACAAAATGCCTTCACAGTGATGCCTGGATTAGTGTTTTATTGAATAACTCATACTATAACCCAGCCAAGTTGACACATAAGACTAATCATCACAGCTTCATTGTGTATGCTTCCATTTATAGGAAATGGATATATGAATATAGAGACAGAAAGCAGATTAATAATTTCTAGGGGCTGAGGGGAGAAAGGAATGGGGAGTGACTGATAACAGATATGGAGCTTCTTTTGGGGGTCATGGAATTACATAGTGGTGATAGTCACACAACACTGTGAATATACTAAAAACCACTGAAATACATACTCTAAAAATGGTAAATTTTATGTCACATGAATTTCATCTCAAAAAATTACAAAAAAACCCTATAGTTATATATAGCCATTAAAAATTACACGAGATAACATAAAAGAGATAATTCATTTGAAGTGCTTACCACAGTACTAAAAACTGTTAACCACTACATTATGATTAATTATAATGGTATATGGAAAAATGAAAACAATTTCACTTCGCATATATTTGAGTTCGTGAAAGTTTTGCACCTGTTATTTCCAGTAGAGCTGTGATAATGCTGTTGGTGCAGTAAATATATTTTTTAAGGGTTTGGAAGTAAAAACTACAGATTCAGAGGCATCTGTTTTTGAGCCAAAGTTCACGGAAACAGCTTGCAGTGGGGGAGCTACTCAACACTGAAGAAAAAGGTGGGAAAGGGGGATAGATATATTTCAGTTGAAGGACAAGATAGGAAAACCATCCTCCTATTCAGTGTATGCACATAGTCATTTGTTGATGCTAACTATTCATTCTACACTTTTTCTTTTCCTGTTATCAGCATTCATCTTAGATCAGCTCCCAAAGGGCAAAAAGGCAAATTGTTAAGTTGCTTAATATAGTGCCTAGTGTGATGGCATGGCTAGATAACTGTCTCAGTGATAATTAAAAATATTTTTCCTTTGCCAATAATTTTTATTTAATGAAGCTAAAATCAATCTGTGTACCAGAAATCTATTCTGGGGCTTTGATTAAAAATCACAGCAGATTTTAATCTCTTTGCTGCAAATACCCTAAAACAGGAACAATTTTGTTTTTATAAACCTGAACCAAATGCAATTCAACTATTATTCCTAAACAATTTTTACTAAGAAAAACATGCACATAAGAACAAAAACTGGATAGGACCTGGAAAATAGAGGTGGGGAGGGGGAGAGTGGCTATGTTGGCATAATTAATTACATGAGACTTTTCTTTTTTAAACTTGGGAAAATATCACGCCATTACCTCCAAGGTAGTGTTACTAGACAGGCAAATGCTTGAGACATGGGCATGAAGAGATGACATTCTGTGCATCTTCTCTTTTGAGCTTCAATTTTTGTACATGAACTTGAAGAAGAAATGTCCAGCTGAGGTCTTAACTGTTTTCTTCCCTAGTTTCTCCCTTCCCTGTTTTACCAGTATACTTAGATTTAACATTAAAACTGGATAAAGCACAGTAAACTAGCTAGGAGCTAATGAGCTGCTTGAATTTAATAATGAGCTGTTCCCATTTTAAAGTTGAGGACACCAAAGCTTAGAGATGATCATAGCTTCTTGGGCATTCAAAGCGACCTTTGAAGGCATCTAATCCAACCCTTTGCCCCATGCATCTAATCCCACCACTGGTCGATTGCAGATGTTAAAGTTCTGGCCCAAGGAAACACAGTTTGTAAATGGCAGAACCAGAACTCTTGCCTGCTTTTCTAATACCGTGTTCTTCCCACCCGGCCTCGGTACCTGCTTGGGAACTCCTTGCTGTGTGGGGAAGGCAGCCCGAGAATGAGTCACTGGTACTTCTGGGGCTACGGAGGCCAAGGTAACATTTTACCTCTAGGCTTCCTCGTGAGCCCTGCTGAGAGCCTCCAAGGAACTGCGCCACTCTGGGAGTGGCCCTACCAGGTGGGTCTGACCTGTGCGCCCCCAGGCAGGCACTCATTCCCAGCAGCCTTTGGCTTTGGAGACCTCTCCACACTCCTTAATCCAGTCTAAAGTTGGAACTCTGGAAAAGGGTAGGGGAAGGTTTTACCCTGTGAAGTCCTGACCTCATTTTGGAACCTGGAAAATCTTCCACTGTTTTTTTTCTTGTCTGCACCTCATTTTCCAAACGTGAGAACAGGATAAAACATGCCCATTTACTGAGTGTAACTCCTGGCTGAGGTCACTCAACAGCCACTTCTTGTATTTAAGGGTCTGAGGGTGACATTGCTGGCCCAGGGTTCATCTCCCAACTGCTTTTTCCAGGTCTTGGTTGGTATTTATATTCTTCTTTTCAGTAAAAAAAGAAATATTGGAGTACAATTCATGATACTCAATTTCAAGAACAAGCTTGATAGAAAGCTTTCATCACTAAATACAGTAACCTATTCATGGTGCCTGTCACCTCTGATTGCTTTCAAATGACTCCTTGTGGTGACTCTTTTATGTCTCCCATAAAAACTCATATCTGGCTAAAAGCTGAAAAATACCAAGTACATTTCCTTCTAATCGCCCTGCATTTGTATGGGTTGGAGATGATTAGAGGCACAGTTAATCGCTAGTAATAGAAACCCTAAGATCAGAGCACTTCTGCTGCTCAACAGAGGGCTTTTGTGGCTGGTTTTTGAGCATAAACACATCTCCTTTATTTTTACATACAGAGCTTTCTTTGACATATAAGCCAAGATTTTACTTGAGGCAACCTAAATAGTATGAGTGAGAATGTCTGTTAGTTTTTTAAAACAGTGAATATTAGAGAATATCCTTATAGCAAAATACAGATATGTTCCATATAGACCAGCTGAACGTAGGCAACTGATTAAGTAGGAAGTAAACACAACATACTTTTTAAATTCACTTAAAATATTTTGAATCTTTAGTGTTCTTAACCATTTAAGTGTCTAACACTAGGGTTTGAAATAGGAACCAAATAGAGCTGATAATAGCATTTTTTTTCTGGTTTGAGCTACAATTTAAAAAATGTTTGTGTATAGATTTGTTCCAAAAATAATTAAAAGTGGATAATCAGAAATACATAGAGTAATGTATGCACAAAATAAAGAGATCAAGGCAAAGGTAGACTACGTAGGAAAATAAAATTAAGCCAAGGATAAGGTCACCACACACATGTAAATCTTATATGAGGTTCATCTGTTTGGTGTGGGAAGTAGACATGAATAAAAATGAGAACTCTGGTATTGATTATAATTCACATTTCTTTCCATTGTCCTAGAGTTCTTAACTGTAACCAAACAACTCTAAATTTTCACAAGCTAGTATTTGAGTTTGTGAGTGAGCATGTCCAATGATACCCTCCTTAACTCTTCCTGCCCTTCGGCCATCTTACTTCCAAGGAGCATGTTTTCGTCAGAGGTTGAAGAAGGCAAATAGATGTGCAAGGCAGCCCAAACCACTTTATTTCTTGGTTTAAAAAAGGGAGTAAGGGCCAGGGGTGGATTGGGGCAGTTAGATGTTATGAAACCATTTGGAAGAGGATAAATAAGAAATATTTTAAAGTTGTTTTAGTTATCAGAGTTATCACAAATGAAGGAATTCATATAGACATCTTGCCTGTAGACATTTCTTGATAGTGGACCTTTCCCTAATAAACTCACATAATTACAAGCCTCAAGGTCTGAGGTACTCAGGATCAGAAACTACATAAAAACCTGATCAAACAAACCTGAACACTTCATTATCTAGAAAAAAGAATGTGAAGCATTAGAGAACACGACTGCTCAACAATATGGTAACTATACCAAACTAATAGAATCTTATGTTATAATTATGAAAGTTACATAAACAGAGAAGAGTATTTAGAGAATTATAAAAAGAATTTATGATAAAAATAAGAAAAACAAACTACTATGTAAACTATGAAATACATAAAATATCTAAGGTAGACAAGGAATTAGAGTTATGCATAAAAGCAAAATAACTGTATTGAGTTGACTAAGATGATGAATTTTTCTTTCTCACAGTATTTTATGATGTTTTGTCATTATAATAAATATAATTGAAAGAGAAGAAAAGAGAATAAAAGCTTTCCCATGAAGAATATTTTTTGCAGATTTACTGAATAATGTATACTTTCTACTCATTAAAATCTGATTCTTTTTAAGTCTAAAATATTTACAGACTCATAGATCATCTAAATTATTTTCTTTGTCATTAAAGTGTGCATTGGCTGGGTATTTTTCCATAAAAATATATACAGGAGAACTCAACAATGTTCCTCTTCTTTCAATCTTTGTTTTCGTAGGGATTGTCATGGGACTCTTGGTTCGAGAATACAGCAAGCTCTCTAATCTAGAAAAATTCTACTTCGCATTTCCTGGAGAAATTCTAATGAGGATGCTGAAACTCATCATTTTACCATTAATTGTATCCAGCATGATTACAGGTACCTTGAGAAAGCTGATGTTCTCTACAATTATTTAAAGAGCCATCACCTAAGTCATTCATTTCCAATTATGAAAAAAGTATAAATACATTTGATGCATCACACACACACATACACACACACTCAGAAAGTGTGTATTTTACTTGATAGGAAATATTTCATCACCCACAGTGGCATTGCTCTGTGTGGAGCACTGTCCACCATAGTTCAAATCTTCATTTGTCCAGCTATTTAATATCTTATAAGGAAGCTGCCATTTTTCAAACATACTAAATAAAACTCTAGCCAGGGCACAGAATGGGGTGGTGGGGAGTCATATTTGGTCACTAAACTGTGTCCTTAGGATATTTGGTCACTAAACTGTGTCCTTAGGCAAAATGTGTGGTTAGTTTGGGCCAGATTTCAGTAGTTCACGCATTTATTTCCCTGCTCTGTCTGCTCAGCAGCTGCCTACAGGGTCCCTCAGCCCCTCTCCTCACACACTTCTACTCCACAGAACTCAGAACCTGCCACATGCCTGCCCTAAAAATTCACCCAGGGGACTAGCAGCTACATGATATGAGAAAAATTTAATTATGGGATGGCACCATATTTTAAAGGCCTAGTATTTTTAAGTCTGAACTTGTGACACAGTTGAATTTGGTAATGATTTTTCCTTTATTGGTCATGTGGCAGGGTCCCTTTAAAGAACAAACTTTTATGTACATAGAAATTTATTTGGTTTACAAAATGTCATTAGTCTGGGTCTGGTAAGCATCTCTGGTAAGCATTCCATAGTTTCTGGTACTTAATTCTGTCAATAAGTGAAACATGGCATGAGAATTAGGTTTTATATAATCATGCAGTTAGGATCCTTGACATGTCCTCTTCAATAACATGTTTCTCCACCCACTAAAGAGACTGGGACTAATCTATGTAGAGTACTGGACATTGGCTGGGGGAAGGGATGGTGGGTATCAGTCTCTGCTGAATTCAGGAACTACATTGCTTGAAGATTTATAGATTTGGGAATTGAATTTTTCAAGTGCCAAACTCTAGTGAGACTAGAATGCCTTGGGAGCCTTGTTCTTAAATGGTCTTGCTGTTCCTGGCTTATTACAAACCTAAAGAGAACATTTAATTATTTTTATTTACTTATTCAGTTATGTTTTGTTATGCCTGGCATCTTTTAGGCCCTGCAGTCTGAGGGCCATATCAGCAGACCAATTGTTTGTACCATATAAGGTTTATTTGTTTAACTTTAAAGTATTGTAAGCATTTAAAATTTGGAAGGTTTCAAGTAAGCATCCAGATTTTTACTTCCACTGAAAAAAAATAAGATCAGGAAACAGTGGACATATGTTTCCACATACCAACAATGGATTGGAGCTGAGAGACACTTTTAGTTGGAGCAAATGTATTTGAGAATGCCACAATCCCCACTATTCCATATTACTAATACCTCATCCACTTCACTCATTTACATTAGTTACTGGCCCCTTTGGGCACTGCCATTACAACCCCTTAGGGTTTTCTCCATGCCAGAGATTCTTAATCTTTTCTTAGGCTCCTTTGAGAACATGATGAAAGCTTTGGACTCTTTCCCAAGAATAATGTTCACAGGTGCACATATCTACTGTAATTGCACAGGTTCACAAACCACTTGATGACTGAGGCTATTTAGATCTTGTGTCTATAGAGAAAGTTATGAAAGGTTGATCCAAAGTAGGCAGCAAATCAAAAACTCTTATAGTAAACCATGTTTTAGAAGAAAAGGTAATAATACACATAGGAACATACTAGTTCCTATGTATGATATTGGGTGTTTGAAAATACATACTACTCTTGGCAGTCTATAACTAGAGAGATTTCTGCAGTCTGGCTGTTTTGGGTGCTAGTTCCACCTTGTAAATAATCTAGGGAAATGATTTCGAACCTTCAGCATTGCAGTAACATAGCCAGCTGCTCTTTGAAGCTGTAGCACAGGTATGGTAGTTTCTACATGTTCTTCTTCACCAAACCACCAGCAGTTAAACAGGAATTAGAGAAAGAGCAGACCCACTACCTGTTCTTTCACATGAATAAAATAGTCGGATTCAAGGGACATGAACAAAGAAGAACAGGAATAATGATGCCATAGTCAGGCTTTACATTGTCAGGTTTAAAGGAAAAGTATTAATACTAGTGTTGGCAAGGGTGTGGGAAATGGGCTCATTTGTCCATTTTTGGATACTGTCTAAGTTGGAAAAAACTTTCTAGGGGGCAGTTTGGAACATGTTCTGATCTTTCCACTTAGTAATTCTACTTCTCAGAACTTACCATGAAGAAATAATCAGAGGTATGTTCAAATATTTAGGTACAAGGACATTTGTGGTAAAACATTTTTAATGGTAATAAATTAAAAGCAATCTAAATGTATGTTATACCCATAAGTTAGGATTCTATACAACTATTAAAAATCTTGTTTGGGAAACATGTCTAATGACATGTGGAAATGTTCCTAATATGTTATAAAGTAAGAGAATGAAAAAAGTTACACAATCCAAACTTTATTAACGTTTATATATGTTTTTAAAAGGAGCAAAACCAAATCGTTAATGGTTAGACCTGGATAGTAAGGAAATGTGATTCATTGTGCTTTCCTTACATTTTCAAGACAAATACATGTTATTTTTGTTCATTTTGTTTGTTTGTTTTGAAGAAAGAAAGAAGAAAATGGGATGGATTGTCCTCTGTGCCTCCAACCTTGCCTCTGGTAGTCTTCCTGCTCCTCTCTTCCCCAGCTTCCTGTCCCTGCGGCTCAGGCCGCCTTTACCCTGGGGTTCAGTCCTTCCCCAGGCCCTCAGCAGTGGTCCTCAGCCTCCCCACCCAGTACAGAACCAGCACAGATAAAGTGGAAGATGGCCGTGAAAAATACACAGGAAGAGCGGTTTGCACATTTCAAAGCCCTTATACATCCAGCAGATCAATAGCTTGTTTTCTACATTTATTACAATAAGAGGATGCATGTTGGAAGCTGGGGAGACCTGAATGAGTGGCCTAAGGATACGTAGATTAGAGGTAGAAAACTGAGACCCAAGACTAATAATCTGTGCTCCTGCATAAAGGAAACTCTCTTTCCAAATGAACTAGTACAAAAGCCTCTGCTGACATAAAAATACTTAGTTTACAACTATATATTTTTTTTAAACAGGAAGAATCCCTCTTCACATGATGATGAGGATAAGATGTCATTGGAGAAATGTGAATATAGACTGGCTCTGAGATGGTATCAAGAAATAATTGATAATTTTGTTAGTAGTGATAATGGCATTTAGTTATGTAAGAAAATGTTCTTACTTTTTAGTGCATATAGAATTTCACAAGAATGAAATAACAATGTCTGGGATTTGCTTTAAAACAGAAAAAAAGAGAGAGAAGGAAGGCGCAGTAAACATAATCTCAAGGCATTTTCAGAGAGAGAGACAGAGTAGGTACTAACAGAACCCTGCCCATAATTTACATCCTCAGAGAGACACTCGTGCCATGCACAGAATGTCTATGCTTGGGCCCTGTTAACCTTTAGGTTTGTGAACTGTGTTTATATCAACCACCAGGAAAAGATCAAGGAAAATGGCTTATGAACATGCCCAAGAATTGTGGCTCTGCAAAACCCTGGACCTGGTCTCCCCTGCCAGTGAGCTTAAATTCAGGCCACAGTTTCTTTAATGACCCAAATTATAATGACTTGAGCCACCTCTGACAAGCACAGGAATGGAACAGTGCCTCAGCTCCTGCCTGAAGGGGTTCCCTGAGCATCTTTCCAGGAACGGATCATAGCTGTGCTCAGGAAGTAGTCCCCATCTCTTCCAGTCCAGCCTCTTTGCCACCACCGCCTGAGCCAGAAGTGCTCCATCGAGGACCGCTGCCTATCCTGGTGTCTCCTGTGGCTGATGCCACCCCTCTGATCCTGAGGAGCTCCCCCTTTTCCTGCAACCTAAGATAGGAATGAGAACTTAATTTTTCATAGCTCACCTGATACTAGGCTATTACTTGGGACAAAGCTTTAAAAAGTTTGTGGGATAAAAGCAGGTGAAACTTATTTATATAATATAAGCTGGTGACATCTAGCTTCTCCCTGAAGGGGCTCTTTTGAGATCCCTTAGGGCCCCTTAAGAGGGCAGCTCTTTGCTTGACTGCCATCCTGCCTCCGGGAGGTCAGAGCCAGCTTACACGTCCACATGACGATGCTCCAAGCCTTGCTGCCCCTCAGACCTGCACCACCCAACACCAGTTCTAAGAAGGAAAAGTTTCACCATCCCATGAGTCTCCCTGTCCTGGCCCTGGAGCAACCTTTTCCTGGGATGATCACCACTGTGGAAGATCTGCTCCAGAGGAAACCCCTTCATAGCCACCAGGGGGTGGTTTTGCTGCAGGAGCCATCAGGGGACTCACACTAGAACAGGTATCATTGGTACCTGCTGGGTGGGGGCACACCACCCAACCCGCAGGCCGTGTGTCTCTTCAGCTTAAGCTCTGCCAAGCCCATACTGGCTCCTGTGCACAGCTCCTCCTCCAGAGCAATATGCTCCTTCCTGCCCATCCCAGCGGCATCTCCCTATGGATTTCCTACAAATGCAGGCTCCTCAAGAAGCAATACTTACTGGTTTGTAGCTCAGTGCATTCTAAGTTTATACCAAACCAAGAAAACTTACTTTCCCTATACCCCAAGCTTCTGAATCTCTGGGTCCCAGTATTGATTCCAGCTCCCAGTCAAGTCACATTACCAAACATAAGACTTAGTAGAAAACACTTTTGTTCTGTTTATCAAGGACTTTCCAGTTTCCACAGAATATTGGTTGGGTATTGGATTTATATTTGTGGGGAGCTTCTCCAACGATAAATTTAAGATTCTACCCTTAGAAAATTAAAAAAAAAATCCTTCAAACTTCTTTTAAATGGTTGTCACTCCAGCCTTTACATTAAAATTTCAAAATGTTTAGGGGTTCCTGCATAAAGGAACTCAACTCCAAGGGCAGAGT